CTGAGTCCGGCTAAGGTAGAGGCAGCCTACGTGCTAAACCAACAGGTGTGGTTTGGGAAGGTGCTGAACAAGGTGGAGTGGCTATCACTTCATGGGTCTTATCAGATCCGGGGCAGTCGCTGCTCAGCCCCTGGAACAAAGAGGCTTTGAGAGCCAGGCTGGGGCGGAGGCCAGGGGCCCGAGTCCCAGGAGGTACAGCTGCCCAAGGTGCAGAGGACAAGAGATGGGGGGCTGAGGCCAGGAGCCCGAGTCCCATGAAGTGCAGCTGCCCAAGGTACAGAAGGCAAGAGGTGGGCATGTTCTCGCCTGGGGACCCTAAGGCAGGGGTACCCTCGAAGGTGCAGAGCCACATCTGTGCTCTCCTGTGCCTTCATTCTTGGAATCTGACCTTTTGGGGGTACATTTTGCTTGGACACTTCTTGCCAAGCCCTAGCAGTGTAGCCTCTGTCCCTACCCTGCCCCCTTTGGAGTCAACCCCCCTCCTGGCATTGTAGCCACAGCAGGTTCCAGCTACCAGATGTGTACTGCACTTCTCCCTCTGTGCATCTATTCACATCCACTACCCTTCCCCAAGTCACTCACCGCCCCATCCCAAAGACCCAAACCGAGGCACCTCCAGGCAGATGCTGGTCCATGCACGTTCTGTCACAGCCAGGAGGGTTCTGCGCTCCCTCCGGTGTCCCCATGGACTGAGCACTCTAGAGCTGGCTGAGCCAGGCAAAGGCCCATGGGCAGCAGAGCTGGAGTTTATAGTTACACAGGCTGGGCACTGCACAAGGGGTCGTGTTAAAACCTAAATATAGTGAAGGTTTCCATCACGCCCTCGCACAAGGCTCCCTCTTAAATGAACTTCTGCCCACCCTAGTAGAAGGTCTGAACAGGTACCTTTTCTACTTCCATCTTCCAATGGGAAACATTTTTACTAAGTTGTGCAATGGAAGGATATCTATTTCTGGTTCCCACGAGGGAAATGTAAGTCCGAGCTACAGGCTAGACTTGCTAAAGGACTGTTGCACTTGGCTCACCTCTCCCTATACAGACTGATCAGTGTCTGGAAACCGGTGTGTGGTGTGTGTGTGTGTGTGTGTGTGTGTGTGTGTGTGTGTGAACGTGCACATGGATATACACATAATGCTCACACATACAGAGACACACATTGTTATGCTTATGTCTTAGTGAAGGAAGGACGGTACTAGACCCAGTGGTGATGGGTCTTTCCAAACAATACGAAGGAGGTTGAAAGGACAGCTTGGAGAAGGATGGAGATCCAGGCACAGAGAGGGCGGGGAGCGATGGGCAGAGAGGTGCCCTCAGGTTGAGGACAATTGGCAGAATCAGCCTGCAAATCTCAGAGCTCGGATGTTCTCTCACTTTGTCTCCTGGACCCTGGCTTTCTGGGTTTTGCTGTCTCCAGTTCTCAAGATGCTACTGTGAGTCTCCTCTCATTGTGTTTCTGAAGTGGGATGGGAGTAAGGAGAGGCAGACAGGAAAACAGGAGCCTTAGGGTCCCTTGAACTCAGGTGGACCAGTCTTGGGAAATATTTATGTGGGAGATCCCAGGAGATCACCTTCCCAGATAGCGACACAGGTGCAGAGAAGGGCTAAAAGTGAGGGTGTTGGGATGATGGATGGATCTTATGCTGTTTCCTCATCCTCACTGCTCAGCCATCCTCACTCCACCTGGTCATTCTACTGCCCTTAATTCATCACATTCCTTCTGATGCTACTGCTGTCCCCTCAGTTGGCCAATTTGTCCAGAATGGACTCCCTGCACCCACGCTGCCCTGTCTGGTCTGTCCTCCACACTGCAGCCTTCTTAGACAATCTGCTCATGAGCCTCACCTGCTTCATGTCCTCCAAGGTCAAGGCATTCTCTAGACCCTCAGGGTGAAGTTCACACACATGGAGTACAGACTCTGTGTCATCTAATTCCTGCCCGCTTCTCGGCCACAGCCTCACCCCCACCCCAGAGCTTCGCAGTGCCCAGGAAAGGTGGTTCCCAGCCCCCCAAGCCTTAGCATCTACTGTACCCCAAGCATGACTTCACACCTGCCAGGCCAGCTGCATTTTGCCACGGTTGCACCATCCTTGGCTACTTACCCGTCTCTCCATGATCCTTCCACAGACCCTGTGAATATGTCATTCGCAGTACTTGTCACACATCCTGTCCCCCACACTTCTCTCTATACAGCTTGGAGTTGCTGCAGGACAAGAACTGCCTCCTGCCTCCCACCCCTCCACGCTGGACCCTGGGCCTGACACAGAGGCGTCCAGTAGACACGTGCTGAATGGTGACGGGAGATGTCACAGAGTGAATACTGTAGCTTTGGAGGCTGGAGTTTGGTTGGGCCTGGGGACAGGCAGCATTGCCTGCAGCTGCATGGGAAGCTGCTGGACCTTCCTTGAGGCCTTGGAAGCACAGGAGGACAAGGAAGGTGTGCTTACAGTGGGAGGAATTGGGGGGCCATCACACCGCAGAGGGGAGCAATGATATCTCAGGCGACTCACTCCTTGTCTCCACTCCTTCTATCTTCTCTCTCAGACCTGTGCCCAGGAACCCCAGAAAAGCTATAGGGTTCCCCACCACACAACCCCACTCAAGGGTAGTCTTTGGAGGGTCTGATTTAATTGGAATGTGAGTTGTTTTGCTGAGTTTTGGGAAGTTTCTGTCTGAAAAATTATGTCCCTCAAAAAAGTCTGGTTTAGATTATATAAAACATAAAGTATACGTATGAAACACGACATATATGCATGATTATATGCAAACCAATATAACATTTTTTATAAAGGTGGTCCATTTTAAAACAGGAAGATCTGGCAATATGAAATGGCTTGGTCCAAACAAATTTGCTGCCACGGGGCTGACTCCTGGTCACTTGGTAGGACAGAACGAGCTGCCCCATGGGGTGTTGAAGGCTGTAAATCTTTACAGAAGCAGACGGCCCCCTCTTTCTCCTATGAAGTAACTAATGGGTCTAACCCACAGCTCATATGGCTCACAGCTAATTGCTTTAACGACTGAACTACCAGGGACTTCTATGCATGGCTTTTTAAAAAACCCCCACAAACCTTTCATTGTCACTGAGACGGAATCAACTCTTAGCGGACCATTCAGTGAATTTCCTAGGCTGTATGCTGCACGGGAGATCGTCCGGTTTTCTCCCACAGAGAAGCCTGGCCTTTGGGTTAACAGCACAACTCCCTGTAGACTATGTCACCTGAGCCCCATTTCCCCAGATGACGTGGACTCGCAGGTGATGGAGTTTTTATCCGGTGAAAGAAGGTGGAGGTAGTTACCCCCATTAGCCCCTCCCCAGCTGTCTGTAAAGAGAGTAGAACCTACGCACTAGCTCATTGATGAATGCTTCAGCATTTGGTTCTCCAGGACGAGGAGAATCCCTAATTTGTAGCCTTTGCCATTTTCCGTGGTGTAAACACTCTTAGGAGTCAACTGACACACCCAATTCCTGAACTTTTAACAACTGGCTCTTTGCTGATAAGAGTTACTTCTGGGCTTGGGAACTTCCTTGGATCTCTGGCAACAACAAGAAAATCTGCCTGGAAGCGGAGAGGTGAGAGAAAGAGAAAAGGAGCGTCCTGTCTTAGCAAGCGAGCTGTGTGGTCTCTAAACTGAGCGATGTTTCTCAAAGTGGGGCCCACAGACCGCTACAGCGTTTGTGAAAAGATCACTCTGGATCTATTGAAGGGTGAGTCCAGGGAGCAGGGCCCAAGGATCACTTTGAAACAAGATGCTCAGGTGATTCTGATAACTGTTGATCAAGGACCGCTGGCTGGTCCAAGAAGCCATGTCCAGCAGCCTTTCATATTGCTGGTCACTACTCACCATGAATAATAGGAAACCCAGGTCTGAGAAGGACAGAGGAGCCAAGACCTTGACTGGGTGGGACCCAGGTGAACCAGGGCCTTGACTGGGCAGGACAGGGCGGGATACAGGTGAACCAGGGCCTTGACTGGGCAGGACAGGGCGGGATACAGGTGAGCCAGGGCCTTGACTGGGCAGGATGGGGAAGGATCCAGGTGAGTTATGTCTGTTTCCTCTCTGGTCTAATCACTTGCCGGGCACATTTTGAGGTTAGCATATGACAGCTTGCTAGGGACAGAGCACAGCTTCCAGGTGCCACAGGGCCTACAGAGAGGGTGGGGGACCCTGTAGGTTTTCTCCTTGTGGGAAGGTGAGCTAGACATCACTGAAGAGGGGAGCAAGATCCTGACAAACCCTCCCGGGGCACTCAGCATCCTGGACTCTACAGCTCTAACAACTTAAATAATTTTTATTACAAAAGAAAGAAATGACCAAAACACCCCCACCAAATTCTCTCATGGGCTTCCCCCTCCGCGCCAATAAATAAGGGGGGAAGAGACTGACCGGAGGAGGGAGTGGGGGTCATGGTTCAGCAGAAGAGGGAGCTGAGCCTAGGCAGGAAGGTCACCCAGACCCTTTCCCTTGGTCCCTGGCACTGTGGTCACATTGGCCGGAACACAGAACTCTGTCTACTGACAACAAGAGTCTGTGGATGCGTCCCAAGGAGTGTAGGTAGCCAGGCAGGTGGTCTTCAGGATTGCCAGGCTGGCTGCCCGCCTGTGGTCAGCTCGGTGCCGGGCAGTATTGAGTCCAGCCAGCGCCCCCTGCTGGCTCCCAGGGAATCTAGCAGCATCAACTGAGGTGCAAGCCCACCTTGAGGGCCTGTGATAGATAGAATGGTTGGTTCCTCCCCAGCAGGGAAGGCAGGATATGAAAACTTGGAGTGAGGGCCGGTGAGGTTGATATTAACCATGCCAATCTAGGCTGATATCCACCATGCCAACCTCATGGTCTCTGGGACAGAACAGACTCACCCACCCCCAGTCCAGCTTGAAGTTCTTTCACCAGCCAAGATGGGGTTAGGGGACATTGACTTTGCCTCAAGTCTCAATGATGTCTCTTCATGGTGGGAGTTGGTGCCTCCCACCCCTTAGTCACTTCCAGAACCAGCACCCTCCTGGGAGATCTTTGGACCCAGTATGGCAGTTCCAGGAGGGCAGGAACCCTTTCAGCTTCCTGCCCCAGACATCCCCAATGGGTGGAAACTACCCTCTTCCAGCAAGAGTCGTCCCAAGCGGTAGAGCAGCTGGGGATACCAGTGCACACCCTCTCCCAGGGTCCGGCTATCCCACACCAAGCTGTGAAACAGTCGAAGAGGCCAAAAGGCCCACTGAGCCAGGTGGTGGTCAGCCACAGCTGCAAAGCAGGAGGCCACTACGTCCTCCACTACCAGTGTCCCGTGTCTTGTGAGTGGGGCATAGGCCCCAACGGCCACATGTGTGGAGACAGCGGCCACTCGGGCAGGCTGCAAACCTGGTGGCCCAGCCACCAGCACATACTGGCCTGGCTGCACATGGCTGGCAAAGGTGGCCCGGAAGTGGGCGGCTGGTTCTGTGTGGTTGCTGGCAGTAAAGAGCAGGTGGCTGGGCGTGAGCACCAGGCGACGTGGAGGGTCCTGGGTCTCGATGACCTGGAAAGCCCTCACCCGCTGGGGCTCTCGGTCCAGGAAAATGAGCACATCGCTGAAGGTGGGGTTCCCATCAGCCCCCATGGCCAGCACCCGGTCTCCCGGCTGCACGGCTGACAGGGCCACGCGTGCCCCGCTCTCCAGGCGTACTTGGGCTCCTGCAGGAAAGCAGCCCCCTGTCTTAGCCGCAGCAGAGTGCTCTGTGGGAAGAAGGGACACAAAGGTGTTACTGCTGGGGAGCCTGACTTCCACCCCGACAACCCTCCCTGGACAACCAAGGAGTAGTGGCCTTGCCCAGACCAGGCTCTTCTTGCTGCTGGTACAGTATCTGAACCCCAGTACCTCACTTCCCAAGTAGGCTTGATATCCTCCACCGAACCCCACCTCACATGACCTCTCCACTTCTCTTCTAATCCTTCGCTAGTGAGAAAGTGCATCTATTGGGGCCAATAGCTGGTCGGCTTAAAGACAAGAGATCTCTTAAGGCCCAGGGGAAGCTTTTGGTTGCTTATGTCCTAACTATTAGGTTAGGTTAGGTTCTTTGGCCCTCTTTGCCCAGACTAACACTAACCATGCTGGGAAGCATTGCTGGGAGCCAGGTGGTGGCTGGGCCAGGTGGTGGGCTGGGCCAGGTGACGGGCTGAGCTAGGTGGTGGGTGGCTGTGTCTTGCGACAGGAAGAAATGCATCTCCACGGGGGGAGGTGGTTAGCTCCTCTAGGATCCAGATGTCCCATGATTTCTCATCTCTTGCTCAGACACTTCCCCCAGAATTGCCTTCTCAGACGGACACCCTAATTTCTGTGGTTTTTCTATGAAGCCAGAGGAAGGCCAGCCAGGACGACACTGAATGGTCAGGATGAGGGATGGTCACTGGCAGGAGTGCAATTTGTCTTCCTTTGTGTGGGGACATCACAGTGGCCTCAGAACATGAAGGGAGGGGCAGGGTTTGAGGGCAGGAGTGCTGAAGGGAAGTGGTCAGTCTGGGTGCTGGTGTGAGGAGGACAGTGTGACACGTAAAGGGCTGATGGAACTTGCAGGCGAGGACTGGGTTCAGGGCCACCGTTTTCAGTACCAAGAAGTGGGCCAGGTTCAGTGTGCCATGTATGTGTGTGATTACTACACGGGGACAGTGTGTGAGGGGTGGGCCAGCAACCATATGGAGCCAGGCTGAGCATCACACAGGAACCATGGATCGCATCCAGGACTAAGTTCAATGACCAGGACATTAACAAGACTCCAGGGTGGGAGAGGAGCCCCAGATCTGGCTGATTCTGATCAACAAGGCAGCCAGTCTGGGAAAGTCCACTTTATTAAGTCCACTCTGATTCTTCTGGCCCCAAAGTATCCAGCTTCAGGGCCCTGGGGGAGAGGATGGGGACGCCTGCGCCCCCCTAAAGGGCCTGGCCTGAGCTAGATCTAAGTCTGAACCCCTGGGGCTTCTGGAGAGGCATGTGGGATCCGCCTGGCCACCCTGGGGCCCCCCACAGCCTCCTTCTGCAACCCGCTGGGTAGGGAGGTGTCTGCAGGCCTGGTTTCCTCCATCTGTCCAGCTTGCTCTGTCTTGCACCTCCTTCTGCAAGCCCCGGGCTGTGGACCTCCAGGTCATCACCCACAGTTCAGACACGGAGCCCTGTCTCCCTAGGCTCCCGCCTTGTCACTACCAGGCCTGGGATGAGCAGGCAGTCCCGTGCTGCGGCTGGGAACACCGAGGCCCTCTTCCCCGGGGGCCCTGCCTCCATGCCCGGCCCAGCCTCTTCACTTTCTGGGTCCCAGCGCCGCCTGCCCACGCCCTGCGGCCCCGGCCCCGGGCCCAGCCCCCTGGCGGCGGCTCACCGGACTTGACCGAGCAGTGCACATGGGCCTTGGACTCGTAATACACCCAGTCGAAGCCGGCCTCCACGGCCAGGCGCGCCAGCAGTCCGTACTTATTGCGGTCTCGGTCCGAAGTGGTGATGTCCACTGCGCGGCCCTCGTAGTGCAGCGACTCCTCCGAGTGGTGGCCGTCCTCGTCCCAGCCCTCAGTCACTCGCAGCTTCACGCCGGGCCACTGGTTCATCACTGAAATGGCCAACGAGTTCAGGCGGTCCTTGCAGCGCTGCGGAAGGAAAGAGCGCGCATGCGGAGGTAAGGCAAGGAACTTGGGGTGCCCGTGCAGCCTCGCAGGAGACTCTCTCACCGGCCCTTTCCCGTGAGGAGCAGCGGGGCCCAATGTGCGTCCTCCGGTTCTAGGATCCTGGTCTCCCCCGTGACCTGGGCTGCGTGATGGCGCCAAATAGGGCGGGTGCGTGGAGCCCAGGACCCTGCGGCCTCCCTTCTACAGGTGAAGTTCCCCTGCCCTCTTGCGCTCTTCCCTGCAAGGGGTACTGGCCTTCCAGGAGCAAGACTTTACGACTCGAACAACCCACATCTGTGCTCGCCACGTCGCCAGGGTTCCCTCCGCACAGCCAAGACGGAGGGGGATTTTAGCGCAATTGACCTCCGGCTGCTGGCCTGGCGGGCATGCAAGGCCCGAGGTGCCCAGTAGGTGTCACCGTAGCCTCAGGGCTGAGGCCCGGGATCCGCGGGCACCGGAGGCGCGGCAGGTGCAGAGCGCCCCGGCTGCGCGGAGCTTGTAGTGGAAGAGAATCCTGGGCGCCACAGAGCCTGCTCGCGGGGCTTTCTTACGATCCCAAACCAGAAAGAGCCCGGGACTCGGCGGGCTCGAGCATCAGAGGAAGGGGGGAGGCTTAGCCCTGGGAGGGGCCGGTGGGGCGCAGGGCAAGGTCTGACGCTGCAAGGGGCGCGCGCGGCGGGAAAAATTCAACAACAATGGGCCGCATGCTGCGCCCCAGCCCGGTGCCCTTGGCCCCTCTGCGCCGGTGGGTCACCTATACATGGGAATGGGAAATTGGAAACTGCGCCTCGGAATCGGGGCGCTAAGTTTTGTGTCACAGGGTAAGATGTTGCGCTGTGCACTGCTTGAATGGGAGAGACCATCTGTCCTCACTGCCTCCCACATGCCTGCGGCAAGAGGAGCAGGAGACCCTGGGGCAGGGGGCGGAGCTCAAGGCCCTGGGCTTGGGCCTGCAGCCAGGTCCCGGCTGCTCTGTCTCAGCCTACCCTCAATGAGCGAGTGGTGGCGGAGCTCTGCCCCACAGACCCTTGGACTCCAATGGTTGCTACCGCCCAAAGCCCAGCTGGTCCTCCAAGCGCACAATCGGGGTGAGGGTGCTCCCTGCCTGGAAGGGAGCCCCGTGCGTTCCTTCCCTGACCCAGAGGCCTCTAGCCCCCCATCCAAGGCCTTCCCGCGGGGCCCTGCTCCCCGCCCTCTCTCCTCCCCCCATCCGCTCTGGGTCCAGAGCCGGGGCGCTTGCTGTCAATGATTGCCCAGCCCGTGGCCCGGATCCTTATCTGCATTCCTCGGCGCCCGGCCCGGCCCGGCCACCAGCCAACCTTCGGCCCCGACACTGGCCGGCCAGCCCCGGCGCCAGAGCGCATGCTGAGGGCTGTGGTCGAGCTGCTGTTCCTAAAGGACCTAGAAAGCTTCAGCCTGTCGGCGGAGAAAGCCCTGGGAGACCCCATACAAAGGGGGCGTAGGTCACTCCCCTTACAGACCCCTACACAGGGAAGGAAGTTTGCGTTCCGGCTTCTGGCGCGAACGCAGATCCAGCTTCAGCTCTGTTCCCTGTCTTTCTCACATCTCAGCCTCGGCAAAGCCAGGTCTCTCGCAAGTTCAGTCCCCAGAAAGTTCCAGCACTCCACCCTTCCCCGCAGCGGCGCAGCTCAGACACGTGGGCTCACCCGGCTTGTTCCCTTTCCCTCCCACGCTTCCCAGTTCCACTGCTCTCCGGGTGCCTTGACCCCAGACACGGCAGACGCAGCTCCGACCCGCCCCCTGAACTCCTGGAGGGGCAGCGCGCGCGCCCGCGGGGCATGGAGTCTTTGCACTCCTAGCGTCTTCGCCTCGCGGAATTGAACAGCTGTGCAATGAAAGGGGTGCAGTCGCACGGGAGCAGAGGTCGGGAGGGGCGGCATGAGTGCCAAAGTCGCCGCGTCCAAGTGTCTCTGGGTGCGCGGAGCTGCTAGCTCTCGGGACCAGAGGGCTGCCGCTAACCCGCGGGGCTTCCGGCCATGCCGGCGGGGGCCTCTCCGCAGACGCTGGCAAACTCGGGGACGTGGACACCCATGAGGGACCCCTGGCCTGTCCACCTCGGCAATAGGCAGGCAGCCTGAGCGAGAGGGGCAAGTGCCAGGGGGCGGACCGGGCAGTGGAGCGAGAGTGTGGGGGGCGGGTAGGGCCAGGCAGGTGGCTGCGCTCCGGGCGGCGAGGTGGCGGCGGCGGCGGCGCGCCGGGCGCGGGGCGCGCTCACCTGGGTCATGAGGCGATCAGCGCCGGTGTTCTCCTCGTCCTTGAAGATGATGTCGGGGTTGTAGTTGGGCGTGAGCTCCTTGAAGCGCTCGGAGCTGCGCGCGATCTTGCCTTCATAGCGCCCGCTGGCGCCCAGCGTCTTCTCGGGCACGTTGGGGCTGAACTGCTTGTAGGCGAGCGGCACGAGCTTGCGTGGCGGCCGCCGGCGGCTGCCCACCACCC